TCCTATTCCGGAACCCGGCAGCGGAACCGAACCGTCGGGCCCTCGCAAGAGAAGCTCGTCGGGGTAACCCAAAGGGACCCGGAGACGCCGTCGGGAGACCCGGGCAGAGTTTTCTGTTCTGCATAAGCGTTCGAGTTCCCTGGAATCCTCTAGCAGGGAGATAGGGTTTGGAACGCGAAGAGCACCGCAGTTGCGGCGGTGTCCGGGTCGTCCCCTCGGACCTTGAAAATCCGGGAGAGGGCTACGCGGAGGTGTCGCGCCGGCTCGTACCCCCAAGGCCTCTACCTCTACACAAACACAGAAAAACGCACACAAACATTCATGCCCTGAGTGGTATTCGAACCTACGATCCCGGCTTCCTAGCGAATGAAGCTGATGTTGGGATACCCCAAATAATTCGAATTAACAGAAAGGAATACCAAAGTTTATTTCCTAACAAATATGTTTAAGCATCAGGGTTATACAGAGCGGAGGTGACTGGCAATTTGTGGACGAGAAATCTCGTTCCTAGCACGAGAAGAGTTAATACAATTTTCGGGAATTTGTTCTCCCTCCATCTTCAGGTTATTCGTTGTTGTTATGGTGACTGCGATATTTAGATTTTCTGTATTATTGGCAGGGACGAGTCCAGACCGGAAACACTTTCGAAACTAAGTATATATAGCTAACCAGCAGACCAAGTGGGCGGGGTATCTCTCACTAACTTCTAACGCCATGCTCTACCTGTTGGATAGGAGACTGACTGCGACCCCCTCGTGCTTACGAAGAAACCATACTTCCTGTACTGGAAATCGAATCAGATCGTCCGGTCCGGAACCAGTCACTTCACTAACTCAGTTCCTGTTTAACCTTTTAAGGACTAATGATCGATGTATTGAAACGAACGTTTCCGTTTCCAGTTGCTTATATCCGTGCTGAGAGGTCGTTCCCACGAGAAAGCATTCCATCCAGTCTCGCAAAGAACAAGTTTTGTCAGCGAGACCCACGTCACTTAGTATAGAACCGCCATATGCATATGGCGTAAGTAGAGGAGTGACGGTTCAACTATTCCCCTCTGTTATTCTGCATATATCGCAGTCATATCGCCGAGAGGGGGTTACGCGACAAATTGGCCAACCTTTCCCATGAATATGGGAATTTTATTTAATAATGTAAAGCAAAGCGTTTGGAAGTTTGTGCTGTATTCAGGCACTTGGAAATGTCATGATTATGACAGGCGTTAACGTAATGCCTGTATTGTATAAGTAAGGTACAGTTATTCAAGTTTTTGCGTACATAGTGTAGCAAAAGATTCTTTCACACGATCTGTCAGGGTGTTATGGAAGTTTTTATGCTGTCCATACGAGCATAGGTTGAATTGGTGTTATCACAGAAATATATTATCACGTGTAGGGGGTGCGTGTCTTATAAGACGGGTTTTGGATTGGTTGATTGGATTTATTGACACATTATACATTCAATCCTTGACTATAGGCAATTACAGCGCTGTCGCTGATCTACACACTTTACAGTTCACGTTTGCACACACACTAGGGTTCTCAGTCTTCACTAGTCATATCCTGGCAACGGATTTTCTCACTGTCACTTCAGATCACACGTGAAGTATTCTTTGCACCGCCTAATTCCTTTCTTGTCATTTTTCTGCAACTGCCAATTCCGAAGACTCACTCAATTCAATTCCTCTGCTCCCAAGCTCATATCCTGGCAGGCCAGCATCTCGAAACTCGACTCGACTCCTCACTGAACGGCCTCAACTGAAGTATTCTTTATAAATATTTGCACGGACCACGCAGGAAACCCAGTTTCTCTATTTTTAGAAGGCGTGTTTACAGCTCCGATGCATAGCAAAGGAAGCTACTCCATTGTTGCTTGCATATTCGTTGCCGCGGGAATGTGTTTACGGAGTCGTTGCCTAGTAATGAACATTAATTCTGACTTTGCTATTCCGGCTTCCGATCGTCATGACACAATATGATAATTAAGCATTGCTAACGACAGTGATAAAATTTCTTGTAGGCTCAAGGAATTTTTTAGCATGTTTGCGCGTGACTGGGTGTTGTGCAGTAGTAATAATAATACTTATATAATTTCGCTAGATCATTTAAGGATAGCATGCACAATTGCGGAAGTTATACAATTGAGTGACTAACTAATTATTTGGTTATACAGTGACAGAATTTTAGATAAAGATTTTGTATGGCACCGAGTGAAATGGGAAAGTAACTGCAGGTGATGGTAATGAATTGAGAGAGAGTCGTAACTCTTTCAAGGTACTATGCCGGCACACGCCAGAACAACTGAGAAAAACCAGGGTAATCGGTAACCTGGTCGAAATTTGAACCATCCGAATACAGTGCATATCATTACTACTATAACAACCTGCCCGATGAGTGGTGGCTGACGAATTAATAAAACATTTGTTTTTCTTACTCTCCGCTCTCACTTTGGAGCATAGGGCTGATTTCCCAGTTTCATTGATCATTTTTACAGACGGTAGGACTCCTTGGACGGGTGATCAGCTCGTCGCAAGGCCTCTACCTAAACACAGGACAACACCAACACAGAATAAACGCATACACACACACACACACACACACCAAACATCCATGCCTTGTGTGGGACTCGAACCCACGATCCCGGCTTCACAGCGAGCGGAGACAGTACATACCTTAGACCGCTCGGCTACCGTGACCGGCTAATAAAACAGAGAGAGAAAGAAAAGTATTCTTTCATAAGATCTATAAGTTTGTGACGATGGTGCATTAGTACAAATAATGTTTCTGGACATTATCCAGCGTCTTGTCTTTATCTAAAGACCGTCCTATCTATTTTTCGAAACACAGCGTTTCGGAGGCTGGATTTTGGTGTGGGTTTTACCTGAAGACGGAGACAGAGAGGGTCTCCGAATCGATGTGTTTTGAAAAATAAATAGGACGGCTTTTAGATAAAGACAAGACGATTGATAATGTCCAAGATCGTAATATTTATATCATGATTTTCTTTTGCAAGGAGAATTGCGCGATAGGCTCTGTTTGGGAAGAATAATGATGAAACCTAGGCTCTTCTAGGCATAAACAAGCGGGACGTATCGACATACTTTTATGAGGATAGGAACCGGGTCAGCACTGAGTCAAATATCCAGTTTTTGTAGTAATTAAAACGAGACCTGTTTCCATAACGACAGGGGATTTCCAGAAGAACTGTTTAATCATTGACTGCTCACGAAAGATAATTCGACACTTAAACAGTTAAGTGTATATTTAGTTCGTATTTTGACTAGTCAGTTGAAATAGTTAGATGCTTGATTCTCATGTCTTTTACGTCTCTCTTTCAACAGAAGATTTTATGTCGCGTCGAAGGAGAAAGGGAGACAATCATGATTTTTGTTTAGTTAAGAATATGTCACCGATCGTAGTAGCCGAGCGGTCTAAGGCATACACTCTCTTCGCTCCCTCGGAAGCCAGGATCGTGTGTTCGAATCCC